CCCTAAACCCTAAACCGTAATCCCCAAACCCTAATCCCCAAACCCCAATCCCTCAACCCTGAGGATCTAAGGATGAGGTTGAGGGATGTGAGAGTACTTGTTTCAGAGGATCTGGCTTGTGCTCTAGGGTTTAAGAGTGTAAGGGTTTAGGGTTTAGAGGTTTAAGGGGTTTAAGAGTTTAAGGGTTTAGGGTTTAGGGTTTAGGGTTTAGGGTTTAGGGTTTAAGAGTTTAAGGGTTTAGGGTTTAGAGGTTTAGGGGTTTAGGGTTTAGGATCTACGGGTTCGTTTAGGGTGCCAAGGCTTCGGGCTTGGGTTTCATGTTCAGAAGGTTTAGGGCAAGTCAAGCAAGTCGGCGTCGCAGGGGGTGTGGGGCGGCGTGACCCGGACTCCCAAAGTGACCCTATGCACCCGAACCTTTCTCGCGCAAGCTTCTAGTGCTGTTGATGACCGACCCTTAATTTCCTAAAACCCCCCATGGATGAGTGGCCAGATAGATGGACAGCTTGGGAGGGAAGCACAGCCATGCACATCTGGCTCTATGGTGTGTGCATTGTCCTGTTGGTAAACTGGCTGTCGGTAGTGTAGCGTGGTGTTCTGATAATTTGTGCATGATGTAATTTGTAGGAGACCCAATTGCCCTCATCTTCAAACCCTCAGCCAAGTTCTAAAAAGCAAGCCTCTCTTTCTTGTTAGGATTCACTGGGATGGAAGCGCTGGTACAGCGAGGAGAAGGTGGCGCTCATGTACTTGACAGCGGTTGATACTCTCTCCGTTCTGGGTTTCACTGTGTGGAAATTTCGGGTTGTGGGCTGCTTCTTCTGAGCATTGCAGCTTTGTTTTTGAGGCCGACAGCATGTTAAGGCTTTCAGGCCTCGATGATGTAGGGGCCTATCTCATTACCAATACTATTTTGGGGGGTTCCTTAGTATAGTTATAGTATAATGGGCCCCAAAACCCTAGTAAGGCCCCTTTTTTTCTCCTTATGGGTCGTGGCTATTTGGAGAGCGGCCAGCGCTCCGGAGTCTGCATGGAACTTTATTCGGCACAAGTTGGGGGGGGCTTCATTGGAAGAGTTTGTGTCGAGAGTCTGGAGGGTTTGGGGTTTAGGGCTAATGTAAGAATCGGGATCTGGTTTTAGAGCCGTTTCGCGGTTCACGGAAGCAGGGCGTGTTTTGTCTTTGAGAATAGATGAGTCTTAAAGTTGGGAGTGCGGACGCAGCCATCACTATCATCAAAGTCACTATCATTGCTGCTGTCATTGTCGCCACCCGCATGATGTCACCGAGAAAGTCACGACCAACAACCATCATCCTCCTCGTGCTGTGCACAACCATCCCTGTCCTCCTCGGCTTCCTTGCCATGATATACCTCGCGCTTTGCCGCCCTGACATATCATTTAAATCAGCTGTGCTCTTGACAGTTCCGCCCGGCTTTTTTTCGGAGACTCCAATATCTACTCCTTGCCCAACGAATATACATTGCCGAAGTTCTGCAAGGAATCTTCATATCTCCATTGTAATTCCTTTTTTGTGGTTGAACCAAGTTTTTATTTAGGATCCTATAAGGTAACCCCAAAAAGGAACTACAATGGAGACTATAGGTAAACCCTAAACCCTAAACCCTAAACCCTAAACCCTAAACCCTAAAACCTAAACCCGGTATAGGGCAGAGATACCGGAGCCTCCGGGTTACAACGCAGGCTGAGAATGCTGACCTTCCTCGCAGCGCGCGCGATCTGAGCCTCCTCTCAAAAGCATGTGGGGGTTTAGGGCCAAAGTCAGTCGCTAAGCCCTAAACCCTGAACCCCTGAAGCCCTAAACCCGAAACCCCAAGCCCTAGACCCCCAAACCCTAAACCCGAACCCTGAACACTAAACCCTAAACCCTAAGCCTCAAACCGTCTGATCTCCCCACCTAGCAATGCAGCCCCAAAACCTGTCTCCAGCGGTTTTTCTCTGCACCTCTCGGATCGATTGAGGGTTAATAGGCAGCCTAATGCCAAATGCAAGGCCTTATCGAGCTTTCTAGCTGGGTGCCGCTTCTGATTCTGAACTAAAACACTTTGCCTCAGACCTACGCGCAACTCCCGCACGCTCTCCCCGGGAACCCAGCTGAGCTTCGAAGCATAAAGACAGAATGTTAAGCATTTGATCCCATGTTTTGGAAGCCAAACGAATTACCAGTATTATGGTTAGGGTTTCTCCAAAAACCCCATTATTCAGTTATCCAGTATTAGTGTTAGGGTTTCTCCAAAAACCCTATTATGGGAGTTTCAGAAGAGGAGCCTGGTTCTTTCTGGCCAGGTCACAGCAAGACAGATGTTTAGAGTTCAGGGACATTTACTAGTATAGGAATTCCAAGCGTGGCATCCGTAATTATTTCAAGCCCGAAACCACGACACCTCTAAACCCCTACACCCTGAACCAGAGCCCTAACCCCCAAAAAAATCCTGACAGCTTCCGAAGTTCCGAGGAACCAGTTTCAGCGTCTCTTCCTCTTGCGTGTGATGAGGCAAGACCGCCTGGAGCCCAATTTGGGGCTCTGCATAATATTCTAAGGTAGCCCCCGCAAAATCTACCACATACTGCCCCAAACCCTGTTGTAAGTGGGACGGCGTTGACATTTCCCGGCCTCATGTAAACCGGAGTACACTCATGTAGCGGTTGGAATATTGTCAGTCGTATCCAACGACTAAGGCTTCTGCACAAGTTGGAGGACCGGGGGTGAGTGCTAACAAGAAAGGCAGCATGCGACATACAGTGCTCCACTCACTATGACACTCATTAAGCCTGCCTGCTACGTCCCCCGATGTGTTGTAGAGATAGATCGTTGTAGTGGCAAAGAGTCATCACAGGAGAGGCAATCAACAGCCGGAATAGCAACATCCACGTCCAGCTGAGTCAAGTTTGCTCCATCTGTGGTAGTTGGAGGCTTCGGGGTTTGAATGCTGGGTTGGGGGTTGTCGCGGTTGGGCTGAAGCGTGTGGGGTTGGAGGGTTTACGGTTTGAGGTTTGCTTCCAGATATGCAGATTCCAAGAACGAGAGGCCGCAAGCCCATGCTTTCGAACAAGATCCTAGACGTCTTTGTCACCTCAAGCCCAGAAACTTGGAAAAGCCCTCATACCCTCAACTCCGTTTCGCCTAGGTATCGGTGCGGCACTGTCGCAGTTCGTCATCGACAACCTGGGTCAGGAGCTTCCCCCATGAAGGGTAGGACGTTTGGCGCAGGCAAAACGTCGTGGTGAAACTCTGAGGCCAAACTGCTAAACCTGCCTTTAGGGTCTCTGTCGGCCATGTGTCCAAGTATTCGAAACGCTCCTTGCTCCGAGAGCTTATAGGGTTTATAGGTTTAGGGTTTAGGGTTTTGGCTTTATGGAAAGCAAGGGTCTAGGGTTTAGGGTCCCCCTAAACCCTATACCCTAAGCCCGAACCCTGTTGTGTGTTGAGGCCCTTCTGCCATTGTTCCCAAAAGCCCAACAATGATGTACTATAGGGGCCTTGATAATTGCCTATATTTTTTGGGGCTCCGTATTATAATTATAGTCTGGTTTCGGGTTTAGGGTTTAGGGTATAAATTACAGTCTCATATACGCCAAAACCCTATTCTGATTATTAAGGCCTCTACATTCGTGATAGTGTGGCCTTATAGTCCCCCGGATCCTCACACATTTGTAGGTTCCTATGGCCCAAAACACCATGTTCTAGTTGCAAAAAGGCCCCTAAACTGCGGCCGAGGGGCTGCCGCCCTGCTGGATCCGTGCGACGCCCCCGCATACCGCATATGGGTAGTTCTCTAAATTAGGGTCCCTTGTAGGGTCCTCTTCAATAAGGGTGCCGTTTCATAATGGGGGCCTAAAGCGGGACCCGAATTTGGAGAACTACCCTGTATGATGGCAGGATTTCATCGAGCAGCCGCCCTTTGACATGGAGGCAGAAGCGGCGGTTCCTAGGGCTAGGGAGGTTGATGACAGGGTTAAGCCTGTTGGGATGCAGTTTGCGGTGGGCATGGAAGAGCAACCTGGCTCGCCGGATTTGGCTGCGTGTGCCCACGCGCCAGAGGGTTTGAGGACCTCTTGGTCTTAAAGACCTGTCATCCCTGAACCCTATAGGCCCCAGATAGCACAGCCCACGCTCTACGTCCGTAAACACTGCAACCAACCCTCACCGAACCCTGGAATCCTGGAAGCCCTAATTCCTAAAACCTGGATAAGTCCACAACTTGCAGGTGTCCTTCGAAGAGTCCACTTCGATCACTCCCTTCTTCTTCGTGCTTTTCCCAGGCGGGCCGTGCTCGGACAGTCCTAGAGCGTACTAGCTCTATCTACCCTGAACCCTAGAGTTTAGTAAAGGGTTCGTAAGGGTTTTATGGGGGTCCACAAGCACACATTCGTGTTTAGAAGGATTAAGGGTTTAGGCTTAATTCCTTATGAGTTATTACGAATAAGGGTTTAGGGCTTGATTGGGCGGTTGAGGGTTAGTAATTTACAACTGTTTAGGGTTTAGGAGTTGGGTGGTTAGGACTCTCATATAGGTTCCTGCTAGGGTCTCGGGTGTGTTGGCTTTTCAGCTCTTCAGACGGACTGCGGTTTATATCAGGTGCATAAGACTTTGCTGTTCAGGGTTCAACGTGTATACAGGCTTGATGCTGTTTTTACATGTGGGTAGTTCTCGAAATTAGGGTCGCTTCTTAGGTCCCCAATATAGTACGGCACTCTTTTAAAAAGAGCCCTAAGGAGGACCTGAATTTAGAGAATTACCCATGTCCCTGTCCCTAAACCCCTAAACCCTAAACCCTAAACCCTATAAACCCTAAACCATAAACCCTAAACCCTGAACCCTAAAACCTAACCCAATGTATGAGCTGTAAGATGTATAGTGCGGAACATCGAGTAGTTGCAGGCTTGAGTCTGGTCCCCATAGCCCGACAGGGCAGACCGAAAACGAGCGCAGGGTTCAGGGTTTAGGGTTCAGGGTTAGGGTTTAGGGTTTAGGGTTTAGGGTTTAGGGTTTAGGGTTTAGGGTTCAGGGTTCAGGGTTTGGGGTTGTGTGTTTCGGTTTAGGGTTTCGGGTTTTGGGTTGTAGAGTTTTGGGATTAGCACCGATTAGAGTTCATTTCGTAATACTATAGGGGCAACTCAAGCAGTCTGAATGAAAAGTTATCTTCTCCGTATACGAAGTACATATGCTTTAGTTATGCATGTCTATATTTACATACACAGACATACATGCGTGCATACAATGTTTTCAGACTTACTTTTGTACTGCATTGCACTGTAATGCACTGCAGTGTATTCTGTTGTAATGAATTGTCTTGAGTTGTACAGAGTTGTATTGAATTGTATTGTCTTGAGCTGAATTGAGTTGACTTGTATTGTATTTATCGATGCAACTCGAAGCGGAGGCGTGGATCCAACGCCGACGATCGAAGCTTTGGGGCGAAAGTTGGGCAAGACGGAGGCTGGCTGTCGCATTCAAAAAGAAGGCTTTTTGGGGCTTAGCAAAAGTCTAAGACTCTATATGGCTTGCATGTTCAGGTTTCGATTTTGGGTAGAGGAGGTTCATAAGAATTTTATAGCCTTTAGGGAATCTTGGAAAGGGCTCCACAGCCTTTTCAAGTCCAAGGCCTGCGAGATGCTCAACCCATATACACCCAACAAAGTCGCAATTTCCTCAACTGTCGAACCTAAACCCTAAACCCTAAACCCCTAAACCCCTAAACCCTTCAACCACTATTATACAATCCCTAAATCCAAAACCCTTAACCAAACTCTGGATGGGCCGTGGGGTTTTGAGGGTCGGGTTAAGGATCGGTCTGCACCTCTACACGCGAATCTCTGCATCTTCGGGATGCCGTTATGCAATTTTAGGTTTTGTGCTGTCGGGGTTAGTAGGGGTTAGGGGTTTGGGTTTAGGGTTTAGGGTTAGGTTTCAAGTCCTAAGGTGATGTTTAGGGCAGGACAAACAAATCAGAGCACTCAAAGATTCACGTAGGGGTGGCCTGACCGGTCACAGTTCTTGTGGCCCTTCGTGTTTTGGTTTTGGTCTTGCAATAGCGGCGTCTCGGCAGCTGGGATCGGGTCCTGGGATTTCCGGGAGAAGTCCTGAATTGTCGGCCTGCGGGTTGGTGAGGATTCCTGCATTGGGTTTAGGGTTTAGGGTGGGTTTCATTGATGCGAACATGAACCCCGAGAAAGTCAGGGATCGGCAGTGGCCTGGTCGATGGCTCAATGTTCATAACCCTAAACCCTAAACCCCTAAACCGAAAACCCTAGACCCCTAAACCCCTAAACCCTAAACTTATAAACCCTAAACCCTAAACCCCTAAACCCTAAACCCTAAACCCTAACTTCATCAAGGGCATCAAGTCGTCGATGGAGGGGATAACGGTTCTTCAGTTCAAGGCGCTTCGCTAGGTGAAGTCTTCGTTCAAGAGTTCGAGCACCAACGCCTGTCAGCCGAAAAACCAAAACCCTAAGCCATGAAACCCTGAATCCCCAAAACCCTAAACACCCCAAACCCCTGAGCCCGGTCGCCCCTAGACACCCTAAACCCCCAAAAAGACCCACTAACCCCTAACCACCCCAAGCCGAGAATCCCCAAACAACCCTGAACACCCCTAAACCCCTAATCACCCTAAACCCTTCAACCCCTAAGCCCCTGAACCCTAAACCTTAAACCCTAAAACTTAAACCCCCTAAGCCCCTAAACCCATCAATTTCAGAGCGAAACGAAGGATTTGAGCTTCAGCTTTTGTTGCCCTGCGCCTTGACTCAGCTGGCGCAAGTGCGAATCATACTGTTGTCTAGGGTTTAGGGGTTTAGGATTGAGGGGACTAGGGTTTTAGGGTTTAGGGTTTTAGGGTTTAGGGTTTTGGGTTGTAGGGTTTAGGGTATGCGAATCTTAGTCAATTCGGGCTTGAAGTCGGTGTAGAGTCTTTCTGTGCTGCTTATGTTGGGGGCTTGCGTCCGAAAATTGCATACCATCCGTCGGGAAATTGGAGCAGAAGAAGAGAACGCGTACTACTACTGTTCCTGACGAATGCATGCACAGTTGTTGCCCGGTTCAGTTTCGATTTATGTACGGCCTAGTGGTAAGAAAACTGACCTCTGTGTCTTGTTGATAAGGTTGCTTTTGGGTTTGGGGCAGGCCACATTGACCGCCCCAAGCGCTGTCACTCCTGAACTATTCCTTCTTGAGACAGGCGAACGGCCAGCTGCTGAACATCTCAATGGGACAGGGTCAGGACAATCTGCTAGGGGTTTAGGGTTTAGGGGTCATGCATGAATCGCGGAGATGCAATGCACATTATACCGTAAGGAATCGCAATCAACTCGGCACCCTCAACATTAGCCCCGAGCCCTCAAACCCTTAGCCCTGAAACTCTAAACATTCGACTCATTGACCCCAAGTTCAAAAGCCAGGCATCAAACCACTAAGCCCTATTACTTCTGAAACCCTACAGTCGAATCCATCGCACCGTGAACTGCAAACCCCAAGCAGTCAGTTTGAAGCATAATTAGTTAGGGATTATGAATCATGCATGAGGTTCGGGTTTTGTGGTCTAGGATCGTTGGCTTTGGTCTGGGGGGGGAAGTCGGTGGATTATTGTGATTAGGCTTGCGTGTTGTCGAGGTTTCTAATCGTAACATTGCGGCGCAGGGTCAGAAACCCTAACCCCTAAATCTCCAAACTCTAGGCCCTAGACCTAAAACTCCTAAGCCCTTGGTCTTGGAGTTACGGGCTACAGCTGGGGGCATGTATAAGGCTTCTTTTTGCTTACATTTCCAGTTCAGGCCTGCTGCTGTAGGTATGGAGTAGCAGTGAGGGTGTATGAAGATGTGATCTTGTTGATGTCCGATCAACATAGACCCCTGATTAATTGACACAAGCCGGTTCCTTAATGGCCTTAATGCTAGGATCCTTCTTGTACCTCAATAAAGAAAGGTCTCCAGGCTGCTGTGGCTTGGAAGACTTGCGTTTTGAATGAGCCCTTATAGGAACATTCAAGGAGCCCTTGCAGAACTTATAAGAACCCTTAAAGGGGGCCCTGGCATAGGTCGATCCCGACTTGGACTCGTCGAGGTCAACAGGACAAACCTACTTCAAAACCCTTGGCTCAATAAGCTTGCAACTGCCGCCGTCGTCACGATACAACACAAGAATGTAGGGAGAAAGCAACAATAAGCGGGAGGTCTCACCAACATTCAGGAGCGCTTCCAGCGCATGCTCAGTCAGAACCGCAATAACGGCCTTACAAACCTATAGGTTGCATGGCAGTATACCTGTGCTGTCTTCTGCACCATCGACGCCGCGCCGCAAGGAGAAGATTGCTCTGAATGCCATCAACAAGATGGCGAAGGAAGGCGCTCTGGGCAATGGCAGCTTCTGCTCATAAGGATCAATGAAGGGCGATAGTCCTGCAGAGCACCCTCCCCCGAACCCCTGTCTGCACAGGCATCGGTTTAGGGTTTAGGGTTTGGGCTTTAGGGTTCATAGGCTTTAGGGTTTAGGCTTTAGGCTTTAGGGTTTAGGCTTTAGGCTTTAGGGCATCATGGCTACCATTCCGATCGTGAAATCGGACGTCTGCAGATGTGGTAAGGTTTCCAAGAGCTTCGACGCAAGCTTTACCCAAGCACTAAGTTGAAGAGGACAGCCGACTGGAAGGTTGGGTCAGAATGAAAGCCAAGCAGGGTAGCCAAGCAACCAAGCCATCATAAACCCGAAACCCTAAACCCTAAACCAGAAACCCTAAACCCTAAACCCTAAACCAGAAACCCTAAACCCGAAACCCTAAACCATAAACCCTAAACCCTAAACCCGAAACCCTAAACCGGGGTGGGGCTTCGGATCGCTTCGTCTCAGGCATGGAAACCTAAACATGGAGCGGGGGCTGAATGTCACAAGGCTGTGATGTTAGGTTGGGTCACCTTCATAATAATAATAATAATAATAATAGTACTAATAATAATAATACTAATAGCAATAATAGCAATAATGATAATAATAACAATAATAATAATAATAATGTGATGTATAAACCGGAATGCTCCCCAATCCGACTCCAGACACTCCGAGAACGAAAGGTCTCCAAGCCTTGAAAAGCCCAAACCCTAGACGGTGCTCGGTCTTATTAGTTCAGAGATACAGGGATTAGGATTTAGGGTTTAGGGTTCAGGGGTTTGGGGTTTAGGGTTTAGGGTTTAGGGGTACGTAGCATCGTTATATCCCTCTACAGCTTGATGTAGGCTTGCCCTCCATGTGCATCAGCAGTTCCAGTGCACCTGCACCGAACGGATTTACCACACCTCCCCCTTTTGCCCTGACGGTAAAGGTTCTGGGTTCAGGTGGTATCGCGGGCAAGCAGATCAGACGCAGGTTTGGGGAATAGGGTTTAGAGTTTAATTGAAACTGGCGACTTATATGCCTTAAGGCAAGACCCAACCCGGTGTAAATCCGAGCACATGGCAAACATTTGTGTTTCATGGCTCTCGCCGTGACTAACCGGTTGATTGACGCCCCAAACCCTTAACCCTGAACCCAAGCATCATCACTCCGAAAGTTAGTCCTTCTGAAACCCCCGAAACCCTAAACCCTAAACCGACTCTTTAAGCTTTAGGGCTTAGGGTACTTTAAGGGCTTCTTTAAGGGTTTAGGGTGACTCCCTCACAGGTGGATGGCTCATGTTGCAGAACATCCACTTGATGCAGGCAGGAACCCGGGCTACGCTTGCTTTGACTTTCGACAATCTGACAGTCTTAGGCTGGTCGCCTTAAAAAAGGGGCCTTAATAGTTCGAATAGGGTTCCATGAGAAGGGATACTGTAAAGGGTACGATAAGGGTTTAGGGTTTAGGGGCCGTAGTAATTAGAATAGGGTTTTGAGGCCCAATATAGTATACTTCTAACAAGGAGCCCCCCAAAATAGTCTTGGTAATTATTTAGGCCCCTACATTACCCAGGCACACTAAGGGGTTTAAGGCCCCTGATCACATGGTGGCTTGCTTTGCTGAGGGACGCTGGGAAGAGAGGCTAGTCCAGGGAAGTACTGTCGGCACGAGGACGCAAAGCCCTAAAACCCTAAATTCTCTAAGCTACTAACACTAAACCCTAAACCCTCTAGGTATACCCAGTAGCCCTCAACCTGCGGTTGGAAGCTTAGTAGCATCGGTTTCTGATGTCTGAACAAGTCAGATATAGTTAGTTTTCTAAGTTAGGGTCCCCTTTTAGGTCCCCAATATAGTACGGCACCCTTATAAACAGGACCCCCAAAAGGGACCCCAATTTAGAGAACTACCCATATAGTTATGGTTAGTTAAATAAATCAATCCCCGAACCTGGCTATGGAAGGGCCTGGGCTCTAAACTCGCACCCCTGGTCCCCTAAACCCGAAACCCCAAAACATCAACCTGATACCCTAATTTAGGGTTTCAGGGTTTGGGGTTTGTAGGGTTTCATGGTTTCAGGGTTTAGGGTTTAGGGTTTCAGGGTTTCAGGGTTTATAGGGTTGACGGTTTAGGGCTGAAGCCCCGCAAAACCAAATCTCAAGTCGAGGCTTGGCTGAAGGATTTGGAGCGTGCCTTGGAGGTCATCGAGGAGTTTGCTCACGAGGACCTTTTCCGCTCAGAGCTCAGTGAATATAAGGGGCCTTACGCACTCAGAACAGGGTTCTGGGGTATATTATGCTGTAGGTATGATAAGGACCCCCCCCCAAAATAGGGGTATATTATACTATAGTTATGATAAGGACCCCCCAAAATAGTATAGGTCATCTTTAAGGCCCCTATATTAGGATTTCGGGCTGGGTTTACGGCTTAGGGTTTAGGGTTTAGGGTTTAGGATTTAGGATTCAGGGCTTATGTACTGCATTATGTCACTATGTATACTCTCAGCTTCGTATACGTTTAAAATTAAGGAACAACCCGTTGCTGGGCTTTTGGGGCTGTGAGGGGCTCAATATGGGCCAGCCAGGTTTGGGATTTGGGTTGTGAGGGGTGGGCTGCTTCTGTTTTTGCTTCCCGGTTGGCATGCATTGGGAGTGTTTTTTTCCGCCCTTACAACTCCTTGGAAAGAGCCGTTAAGAATAAAGGTAGTTTCAATGACCATCACATCAGAAGCCCCATTAGAAGGTTGAGGCTTCTCGGGCATCAGCGAGTGGACAGAGCCGACAAGGTCGCTGATACTGCCGAGCAGGCACGTGTGGAAGCATGGCGGCGATCTCAAGATCTGCAGCATCGGCAGAGGCATCATGAGGCCAAGGATTGCAGGAAAATGCCCCTGAAGCACGAAGGCCGGAGTCAAACTAGGCAGACTTCAGCATAAGCCCATCCGGTCCAGGAGGAGGTGAAGAGGTTCCGCGAGGAGCAAGCTGCAGCAGCAGCCAAGGCGAAGGCCAGTGAGAAGCAAGTAGCAGCAGCAGCTAAGGCGAAGGGCAAGTCTGCGACTGCGAAGCGCGACTGGTCTTCTTCTGCTGCATCTTCTGGTGGGCGTGCGCGATCGTCGGCACAGAGTCACTAGACCCCAAACCCTAGACCCTAAACCTCAACTGGTGTTGCGCTTCTGCAACATTGGATCAATAGGGCTTCAGGTTCTGAGTTTGGGTGTCTTTGCGGGCGAGGCTTCAGCGTATATCTGGCTCTTCATTGGGAACTTAGCGGCTTGTGCCGGGTTCTTGCCAGTTTAGGGTTTGTGTGGTTTTGCGTCTTGGGTTTTGGATTGTGTCTAGACAGGTTTAGGAAACTTGGCGTACAGAGCCGCTCATTTGATGTTTGCAGGGTGGCTTGAGGTACTATAAGCTTTTGAGCTGTTTCGCGTTCAGGGTGAGACGGGGTGAGGGTGGGGGAAGCGTTCACAGTCTTGGAGTCAGAGCCCTAAATCATAAATAAACCCTAAACCCGAAACCCTAAATCTGAAATCCAACATCCTAAACCCTAAACCCTCACTAATTATTAAGGCCCCTACATTAGGGTGTGAAGCCTAAGCCAGTGACAGGACTTCCGCTGCTTCCTCACCTCCGAGCCACCTGGAGCTATGCAGGGGAAGCTCTGGGCACCTCGGATGACAGAGCTCTTAGGTGGTGGTGTAGGGTTATAGGGTTATAGGGTTATGGGGTTTAGGGTTATAGGGTTTAGGGTTTAGGGTTTAGGGCTATAGGGTTCAGGGCTTTATAGGGTTATAGTAACGGCTATAGGGTTATAGGCACTGTGACGGTCATAGAGTTATAGGGTGTAGCGCAGGTGAGGGTGCAGGTTTTGAGGTGCAGGGCCTGCGTTCAAGCGATCTCCTCTGCAGAGGGTTGCTGTCAAGACGGTTTTCGGTGGGGAAGGTATCATGAAATCATTCACTTACATGCACAATTAGGGTATTTACAGTCTTACTGACGAAGTCCCTTGACCTTCCTTGCAGGGCATAATGTAGGAGCCTAAACAATTGCCTATACAATTTTGAGGGTGCCTTGTTATAATTATAGTGCACTATACCCCAAAACCCTGTTCTAATTATTAAAGCCCCTACATAAGGCTTGAGTTGGGGTTGTTCGGACCCTGCTCAGACCCTGACCCGTAGCTCCGTGCATCCCAGGACCTTATCCCAGAGCCAATTCTGCAGAGGCCGGAGCCTTAGGGTTTAGGGTTTAGGGGTTTAGGGTTTAGGGGTTCAGGGTTTAGGGGTTATTTAGGGTTTAAGGGTTTAGGGTTTAGGCGTTCAGGGTTTAGGGGTTTAGGGTTTATAGGGGTTTAGGGTTCAGGGGTTCA